TCGTTTTCGATATATTTTACGTAGAGTGTTTGAGGTATAGTCTTAAGTCCTTTTGTACATTCTCTTTATTCGGCGCAAAACCAAACCGTTTTAGCTTCAGGGACAAAAATATGACATTACAGAAATATGTCAGAATAAAACGATGCTTCCAGAACTCTACGCCAAAAACTCTGGCATAATGATGGAACAGTAAAAGCACACCTGCAGTACAGTGCTACCAACGCGTATCCTTTTTCAATTTTCACTCTGATACAAAGTATTTTAGAGGACTCTATCCAAATAAAAGCATGCAGTTGAAAAACCACTTATATCTCAAAAAAGTTTCACCCAAATAACTTAGTTCACATACCAATGTTTAAAAGAACAAAAAATATCTAACTTCAGAGATCTCTCCTATACGATTTTTTTTATTTTTTTACTAAAAATTAGTTCCGAGCCTCGCGGAAGTTTTCAAGAAAAATCATACAGTCCGAAAACCGCCTATATCTCAAAAAGTTTCATGCAAATAGTTTAAGTTGTATACAATTGTGGAAGTATATAGGGGGTAATTCATTCGAAAAACTCCAGCCCTACAATTTTTTCCTTACGACACATTCTTTGTATATAATATGTTCATTGTACAATCGCCACATCCGTCATTACAAGTCAATCCAAAGCACAATACCTACTTTCAACATAACTGCAACATAACAGGGTTACTAGGTATATATTTAATCAAATTTTTTTTGATTAAATTACAAAACCTTAATAATCTATATTCCTTTTATAATACGAATGAAAGAAAAACTTATTCTCTTTTGTTATAACAATTTTTTTATATTACATGCCAAATTATGCAATTCTTGCTTTCGAACCAATTTTATGTTATTTGGCTCTGCGCATGAACTTTGGCCAAAAATGAGTCAGCAACAACAATACCAAACGCTACAGAAACTTAAATCGAACCTAACTTAAAACGTGAACTAACATAAAAATTCGACAAAGACTGAAAATGGCTGGGAACTCCTTTAAAATTGAAGCATTTTGATCGTGGGTGCGGAAGATGAATGATGCTGCACTTCGTAACGAAACCAAACTAAAGCAATTGTTATAAGTGATTTGTTTCTTAAAAATATAAGTGAAGAGGAAAATTAGCATATGTACTCTCATAAAAGACTATACACATACGCACGGCTCTCTATTTTATAAAACTTAACTATATAATCGAAATAATACTGCTGAAGATAATCTATAAACTATATTAAGGTATCGCTTTTAACAATGCTTGTAATAAGATTCATTCAAAGCCTAGTTTTACATTTGACTACTTTTTACAAAACTGTCTTTATATGACATGACAAATAAGTTCTTGCTTCGGTACCATATATGCTAAAACTAGATTCATACAAAGAAGTAGTATGCCACTACGCAGGGATAAAATGCGAAATAATAAAGAGTTCCGCATTTAAATAATATTTTCTTACCGTATTTATAAATAGAAATTACATGCGAGTATTATATGGTTTTGCTGATTTTCCGTACATTCTGCTATATAGTTAAGTAGCATAAGTTAAATTTACTATTGAACAGCAATAAACTAACCTGACGAATGAACTTAAGAGAATTCAAAAGCTATTGTACCAGAATGATAAAATAAATGTAAATCCCTAGATCTCTAAATTCGTAAGTCTACCAACTTTATAACTTTATTTTATCTGCAGAGCTTATTCTATTATCCAAAGTTAGACTTTTGTGATAAATTTCCTCTGCATCTCATTCAAAAAAGTTCACGAATATAGACGATTTATTAACGTATTAGGCAGTAGCTCTAAGGCAAGCCTAGCTTAGGACAGGCCAACACAAATTGGGCTAATATGTTCTTGCTTCATATATATATGCTCAAATAGATTTCAAAGAAAATCTCTCTTTTATTCTATAGAAATAAATCGAATGTATCTTAGATAATATCAATGTACTGCAGAGAAGCATGAACAGACTTGTCTGTCCTATCGAGTCTTCTAAAGTACATATCTACCAGCGTTCGAGGAAATGACACCGGAACACCTGTTGTGGCCATATCTAGACATATCCAATTTCTTGTGTGACCTATTTTTTATTTTATTATTGACATTAATATTGGCGAGAACTTGTATTTACCAGTATGTCCAGCGGTTCATTGATTTTAACATGCCTAATTTCTAACCCACAATTATGAGGAATGCGGAATCAAAACGATTTTCTTAGGTAAATAAAAAGAATTTGATCTTCCTTTCAGTTCACCAAGCTACATACCTAACCAATCAACATATAAAATGATATTTCTGTCGGTTTACAATTTTTTTAGATTAAAGTTATATACTACTAATAGCTTGGGATGGAACGAATTACTTATTTAATCTCTTTAATTTAATTATATATCAAAACTATTATGAATTGTGTATTCAATTAAACACAGCCAAAGCTCTTCCTTAATATATCAATCACTTGGATACCGACTTGTCTATTTCTTACAAAACTCTTCCAATCATAAAAATGCGAAGCTGGCAACCAAAAGCTTAATACCCTTTGTACAGAAAAATTGATTAATTGTCAATTTGTCAGTCAGACAAGTCAACAATTTATTTCTATTTTTATAGCCTATTTCCTTACTAAATTGTTTTATTTTTGTCTTCTCTTTCGATTTTTCATTTTTCTCAACTTTTGTTAACTAAGTAAATAATTTGTGTAAAAACTAATTGTTGTACTCGTAAATGACATGAAGTTTAAAGACAACAATACCAGATCCACAAACTCAATATTGGTATTACCACATCGGTAATTTGGCTTTGGCGCAAGTTATTCATTTGCATTTCAGCAAATAAACATAAACGCAATTATTCGAATGCAGTCTTCGGGGGCAGAGACAACGGCATCTTCATTCTGTTTGCTTTTTAAATGTGCACTAAATTTAACGGAGTACATGAGTACTAAATACTCTATGTGAGTGTATGTATGTGTGTATGTGTATCGCATAAAAACTGCCATTTAACAGGCTAAACAGTGTTGCCATGTGTTAACACAATTGAGCATTGAATTGCAATTAATTTAAGACGATTTTTACTTGCCTCTGAGCTATCGGTGTTATAAGGAGAAACAACTTATTTTTTATATGTATTTTCTATATATGCGAAAACTGTTTATGTATTTGGAATATTATTCATAAACATGCATTAACTTATGTATGCAATTATTTGTAAATAACAGTTCGTTTTTGACAGACGACATTTAGATTTAAGCTGTAAAATCACTTCACATCACCTAAGGTGCGATGTACAGAAATATTTAAAAAGTTTATTGAGCTTTTTGGAACAAACTGATAATAATTTATATGTTAACATTACTCTAAAGTACACTGCACACAGTACACAGTTAAATACAATATAACATAAATAACTTGTATTACTAAATGTAAAAACAAATGGAAGTTTATCTAGATATTTATGTGCGTACACTCCAATTTGTATATTTGTGGCATATGTTTTCGCTATTTTGATGAATATACTAATTACTAACATATTAAGATTTATTATTAAAGAGGTTTTTAGAACAATAGTGAACTATAACAACATATATTCATTTTATTTTATTTTAATTAATTGAATTTTTAGGCTGAATTCATATTCGAATTTTTACAGTGTTCGATGACTCATTGCCAACAGCTTTTACCATGATGTATTGACGCTGAAATACGTCATTAGCAAATAACATTCGTTGTATGATTATTCTTGTGAAATAATTTTTAATTTAATTATTCGTAAATAATTTTTTTAACACTGCTAGTATCAGGAATCGAACTTGTGTCCTGCTAAATTTGAAGCTCAGAGTCAGCGCTCCTTAACCAACTGACAAAAAGCCGTACTTGACTTTGCTGTATTAATTTGCTGTGAAAGTTTTATTAACAAATTCACTTGCTGTGTTTATATTAGAACGAAATCATAAACCAGCTGTAGTATAATTGAATTAATTAGTTATATTTTTATTTTTAATTGCTAAATTTCATTACTATTTTGTTTGTAGAGGCATTATTTGTTGCATTTATGATTAAAAAAAAATTAATGGCAGTCTGTACGAAATTACTTAATATATTTCTTAGTTAGTTCAATATGATGTCCTGTCTTCTGCATTTCAAATCAAATACTTTTCATAGAAATAATTACTTATAAAATAGTTTTTATTCTATATATTCTTATATAACAATAATTTTGATAGAAACTCATATTCGCTAAAACATATGTTGACTTTTCATACATAGTGGACTATTAAACCCTCTTTAATAAAAAGTGTTTTTTACATACTTAAAGTCGTTTACAAGTTTATTAATATGAGTTTTAGTTGGATTAATAAAAAAATAAATAATTAGCTACTTAAGAAAAAAATTAATATATGACAAAATTATTTTACTAATTACATTTGATTTTTTTTAAATTTCCTATTAAAGTGAACTAATAATATCTGTATAATAACTTATATTGAGAGCGATAGTTGTTTTGCTCTTAAATACTGAAGCAAATACGACAGCTAAGAAAAATATTTACTAAACAAAAATTTCCACTGAAATACAATTACGAGTACATACCGCAAATGCAATGAAGATTTACGACAAAATCTTTGAAGATACCAAACAATTACAGAAACGCGCCAAAACCATTTTCAGCTACGACCACAAATACAACAAAAGCGCGACTTAGAGCGCACTGCGCCAAGTGAATTGGATACATAACGGCATCGGTGTGAATATGCGCTTTGGGTAAATTACTTAAAATACGTTTGACTGTGTGAGTGAGTATCTATGTGCATAAACGTACCGAAAGCTGTTAAGGAGGCACTGTAGCTGCCAGTATAAATAGCTTAAATAGGGCCTGTTGTTGAACAGTCTTTTTTTGAGCCCGCTTTCACTTGGCAACGCGACAGTAGCAAATAAAGAAAAACGGTTGTGCTACAATAAAAAAAATTTAAACTTAAAACTGTGTCAGGATCTTCTTAAATAAAATCATAAAAAATATTAAAAGATGAAAGTGCTTGTAAGTAGTGAAAATTATAAATAATAAATGTTTGAAATTAAAAAAAAAACGTAACGAAATATTAGATAAATAATATTACATTTTTTGTTGTAATTTTTTAGTTTCTCTTGTATATCTGCGTAGTCATTTTTGCATTGTCCTGTTACGCGCAGCATCATCATGGCGGGCATCCAAACGCTAATAACATACCGCGCGATGAAAAAGCCGAGCAACGTGAATACCATCGCGACACAACCACTTGGATTCCTATACTGAAATATAACAAAGAACAAAGTGAAGATGGTAGCTATAAAACTGAATATGAAACTGGCAATAATATTGTGCATGAGGAAACCGGCTTTCTGAAGGACTTTTCGGAAAAAAATCCTAATGGTGTATTAGTACAACATGGACAGTACTCCTATCAGTCACCTGAGGGAGAGGTAGTTAATGTACAATATACCGCCGATGAAAATGGTTTCCGTGCTACAGGCGATCATATACCGACACCACCAGCCATACCAGATGAAATACAAAAAGGTTTGGATCAAATTTATGCCGGCATTAAATTGCAACAGGAACGCTTAGAACAGCGAGCTAAAAGCGATCCAGATTTTGCTAAAAAACTAGAGGAACGGCGTGTGGCAAATCAAAATGGCCAATATTTGGGACTTTTAGAAAATTAAATAGTGGAAAGGAGTTGTAAACACTGAATTGGATGCCTGTCTAGCATCGTCCACATACCTAAAAAAATAAAACTAACCGTACTCAAATTAAGAGGAAAGCTACAAACAAACATATTAATTTTTAAAATTTTTAAAAGAACAAAGACTGTGATTTGCCTTTAAGTTTTTAAAAACCATTAATCGGAGATGTGCTATTTTTAAACTATATTCAATTTTAGTTTTTTGTTAAAAGTTTTTATATATCCAAAAAGAGAAATAAGCATAAAAGTTATATATGTATTTGATATTCAAAAATTATGGAAATTCGATAACTAACATAAATTATATATATTATAAAATTAAATAAAATATTTAAAAAGTAAATAACTTCATTTGTGATTTCTTTAAATATAACCACTTTCTAAGAAATACCCAAAATCTACAGAACACTTAAACGAATGTAGTAATGCATCAAGAACTCTTTATTTTTATTAAATACTACCAACAATAAAAAAAAGAAACCAATTCAAACTGTCAAGATTTGATACATAGATCTCATCTCTACAACTATCTAATGTGACGATTATGTGATGTTAAATAAAAAAAGTGTTATGATGTTATGTTACCATAAGATTTAAAGTTCTACTTTATTTATATATATACGTATTTGTATATATTAAAAATATTTCAAAAATTAATGGTTTACAATACGTTGTTGAAGTGAAATAGTTATATATTATATATATATATTAGAGCCTGAAATCTTTTGAAATGAAAGATGTCTACATCGTGCAGCAAGTACTTACCTAATCCAATTAAGGTCATGATATAGCCACATGCTAAACAGTTATCTCATTGATTCTTAATTGAATTCTTCAATTATTAATGTGTGCCCTAAAACGTCACTTCCCCTGCAGTCTCGGATGAGCTCTATTAATTGTTGCATCCGTTAAATTTAAGCGACTAGTTTCGTTCAGCTCAAACTAGGCTAGTTTTACTTATTATCCTATAGATGGATAATAATCCTTCCTCATCCTTCCTCATCCCAAACATAGTATTTAAACTCAGAAATACCGTATAAAAATGAATGACACGGCACAAAGAAAACCAGATGAATTTTATCTTTATCGTCTAAAATATGTACAAACTTTTAAGATAAAAATTATTTTCAAAAAAAAAATAAATTAAAATCAAATACAGAAGGAATATAATTAGCTTCATAAGTTTTACCAAAAATATATCTGCTATTTAATTTATAGCATTGTCATATTTTACAATATTAAATTGTAATATTTAGATGGATATATCTAGTAGAGTTGATCTGCAAGAGATGCTACATAGAACACAAGTGGATCCGATGCATGATTTAGTATTACACTTAGTAAGGGTTGCTATAACCTATGCATTCTCGATTTAAAAGTTACCCAAATCGTTAACCCCATTTACCTCATTCTGATAGCAATTACTAATAATTCTGTGGATTCTTCCATGTATTATTTTTTAACAAGTCATCTGCGTAATAAATTATGGTGTAATAATTCTTTCTCCTTTTCTTAGCTTAAGATACCAACATCAGCAAATAGAATTCTCCCTATTCATGACTGCATACTAGGCATGATCTTATTATATGGAATATAATAATACCGATTTTGGTGTTACTTAAGTATTATTGTGTTCATTATCTGTGTGGGTTAAGAACCAGATTTATTTACTGTTTTCGCCGATGATCCTATTATTTCAACTCAATTTTTTTTCAGATAAGGACACAATATCGGGGATTTACAGAAGATACAGAAGATATGGGAAACGGCAGTACACCGTAGATTTACAGGTACTGATGGGTATGTAAATACTTAGAAAGTACCTTATACATTTTATGACAACACCATTATTTTTATTATGTGCTCAGAGTAACAATATTTTACTAAAATACATATAAAATGATTTTTATCGAACATAAGTAGAACTTTATTAAAACTACTTCATATCCAATCTGAGATTCATGTTCTGTTCACAATAATATATACATGAAGAGTGCTACAAAACAAAAAAAATATATTTAGTAATTATTAATATTTTAAAAATTTAATAATTCCATTTTGTCATAAATGGTTATAGTTAATGATTTGTTTTTATTTTAATTCCATACATTTTTTAATAATGCCTTCAATTAATTAATGAAATTACCTAAATTAAAAACAGTACATAAAATACCAGTAAAAGTTTAAAAGGTGCAGATAACACTCTCAGTATCACTATATCATCTAAAAAGTAAAATTTAAATAATATTCTCATAGTATGAGTATTAGAGAATATATCAATAATTTTTAATGATTTGCTTCCCAAAGATCGAAAGACTTAAGCAACAAACTCGACAAAATTTACCTTATTTGGATACAAACCTTTGACTTAAACTTATATTGTTATAAAAATTCGAACAGATAGAAAATATTTAATTTTCTTTATAATATTAGTGTAATATTATAATTTATTACTAATACAAAAAACTTTTATTAAAAGTTTTAATAACAGAACAAAAATTAATATAAAAACATTATATTAATTTTATATTTAAGTTCTCCGTATAAAAAAAAATATTTCAATTAAAAATATTTTTAATTTCACTATTTATATTTAATGTTTATTGTTTTAGTAATATATCATTTTGGCTTTTTTTATCGCGTATCTATAATAACTTAAATAAGTGAATTAAATAAGTTCAATGTGCATAAAAAATAAAGTAATAAACATTTCATCAACATGTTATTATCAATTGAATCTTCCACTTAATTTCAAATCAATTATAACTAAAATGTCAAATCAAAATTTTGGCATTAATTAAACTGATTTCATATATTTAATTTATGCTCAACTTTGTAACACATCCATTTATGTGTAATGAACGAAATGTGTTGATCACAAGTTTGTTGCTCCCGTCAGCGATTTTACCAATTTACCTCATAATTCATACTTTTCTTTTTGCAGTTTCAATACATCATCGTTAACCTCATCATCGGCTCACAATAATTATAAACATTATGACCATTTTCAGCAACATCATCATTATCTACCGTCTATCATCTATCGTCTATCGTCTATCGCCTATCGTCGTCGGCAAAATGGAATGGTAAATGTGGCTCAACTCTTCTCTTAATTCGCAGCATTGCATAACTGTGACAGTTTGAATCTGAGTTTTGTTGCTTTCAGCTGTAAAAACCGTTTTCGTATAAAATTTGCTCATTATTATATTATACAATTTATTTTCTTAAGCCGCGAACACATCAGAAGCTTTACTCGTGAATGTTTGAGGTGTGTTTTGTTAGCAAATTTTCAAGAAAACTGCGTTTAAATGCATGAGAAGTCAAATTATGGAAATCTGAATTGGGCAATACCTCTTAAGTGGAATTTATAAAAACAATCTAAGATAACAAACCTATTGGGCGGAATCTACAATATCTACTCACATATAACCTATGTATGTTCTTAGTTTTTTTTTCTATTTTTCGTCTCTTCACGAGGTTAGAATTTGTATCAAGTTTGTTGATATGTTACTAATGGGAGACTTCGGAAATCTAACATAGTAAATTCATATACGAATGTTCTTGATCAGTTCAGCAAAATAAATGGATCATATTTGATGTTTGTCGTCTCTGTCAGTCGATTTCATCTCTGAGTTTTAGTTTAATCAAATGTAATTTGTTGAATAAATTTTTTAAGTAATTCTCTCTTATATACCTATAGTTGAAATGAAGATAAATGTTATGTCATGAGTGTAAATATTATTTGAAATATTGACTTTTCATTTGAATGCGTTCGGGTTGGTATATAGTTGTGTTAAAAGCAAATATTTCAGATCCTGAGATAATTAACATAATAATTAATTCATTAATAAATAATCAGTCAAATTAGTAAGAGTCTTTTCTCTCAATTGTGATTTGGGATTTGATGAACATATCTCTATTGCATTTATTTAGCCATAACAATCCGTTTCCAGCCTAACGCAGCATATCTAGTCCGGTTAGTCCCCTCAACTTGATCACTTCACCGGACACACGTTCTACGTCTATGCCTTATTCCTCCGACACCTGATTCAAATACCTTTTTCGCTGGAGCATCTTCATCCAATCTCACGATATGCCAAGCCAGCGAAGCCGCTGGATAGTAATTCGCTAAATTAATTAATTCGTGGTTCATTCATATGCGATAGTCGACGCCAAGCATTTCTTTTGAGAATAGTTTTTAAATCATTAGGGTTTATACAATAGAAAATGTGAACACAGATTTTTCACTTGATATGATTTGCTGATTTGCTACAATATTTTTGATATTGTAGATATTGTCATTTCAGAAATATTAAAACCTGAACTCAAAGGTTTAGTATCAAATTATTATAGTAAAATATTATATGCGTTCATGAATGCATTCACAAATTGTGAGTTGATTGAATAGACGAACCGAAAACCATGCTGAAAACCAGGATTGAATTGCACATGTCTTCTCTCCACTCTAAGATTCAATAATAATTTACACAGCTTGTGAAATGATGGTAAATACAATATTTGCTAGTTATTGTTTGTATTATACTCACACTTAGGCGTAGTGAATAAAATAAGAATAGCAAACCATTGATATCGATTAAATGAGTGTTTTATGACAGTGAATAGCAAACAAATGAATAAATTTTGAATAAGTGAATGCTTGATCTTTTAATCATATAACAGTGTTCACGTAAGACATCTGTGGCAAATAAAAAAAAGCTAATGAAAAATCAACTATGTTTAAAGTTCGGTGACTTGCTAAAGAATTCCAGTTTACATTTTGACATAATAAGTTAGTCAAACTGTTGTTTTAGCATTTACATATAATGATTTATCTAAATGACTTTAAAGCACACAACACTTGCACTAGACACTTACTGGACAGAAAATGCAGTAAGTAATAGTATTTAATATAAATTTAAATAGCGACTAGTCAGTAAATCACTTCAGTGGTCACAGGAGACTGTTGCTAGAATATAACTTTAAAAAAAATCCTATCAAAATGTCTCTGTTTAATGTTCGTGCTCTTCAATCTCTTACATTACTTGCAGTTAATGATGCCTCAAATAAATCAATCCAATGAAAACACGGCCATTCCCTATACCTTTTCCTTTTTTCTAATGCATTAATTTCTCTTATTGGCTAAGCTTGCCTGTCCAACTC